ATCATTTGGACAAATTTTTTGTTATTTGTAGATTCGGATGTATCTGAATTACAATAGTAACAAATTAAATTGAATCCGAAATAACAAAACGAAATAACGAAACATAATTTCATCTAAAATTCGAAAACTAAATCTAATTTGGAAATTAAATTGAATTTGAAAACAAGAATAGAATAAAATAGAATAAAAAATAAAGAAATAGAAAAGAACAGAATGTTTGAGTTCACAATCTGTTTGTTTATTTATCTATTACAGATAGTTATATAGCATCGTCAATGTACGCACCTCTCTCTCTCTCTCTCTCTCTCTCTAAATATATAAATATATATATATATACACACACTGCTCAAAAATATTAAAGAAACACTTTGAAAACACATCTCAATGGGGAAAATATTATGCTGGATATCGGATATCTATACTGATATGGACTGGGTAATGTGTTAGGAATGTAAGGATGCCCCATCGTATGATGGAAATGAAAATTAATTACCTACAGTGAACTGAATTCAAAGACACCCCGAAAATCAAAGAGAAAAAATGATGCAGCAGGCTATTCCATTTTGCTCAAATTTCATTGCAGCAACTCAAAATAGTACTTTGTATGGCCCGCACATGCTTGTATGCATACCTGACAACATTGGGGCATGCTCCTAATGAGATGACGGATGGTGTCTTGGGGTATTTCCTCCCGGATCTGGACCAGGGCATCACTAAAGTTCCTGGACAGTCTGAGGTGCAACCTGGTGGCATCGGATGGACCGAAACATGATATCCCAGAGGTGTTCTATTGGATTTAGGACAGGCGAGCATGGGGGCCATTCCATGGTATCAATTCCTTCATCCTCCAGGAACTGCCTGCATACTCTCACCACATGAGGCTGGGCAATGTTGTGCACCATCAGCAACTGAGGACCCACTGCTACAGCGTAGGGTCTGACAGTGGGTCCAAGGATTTCATCCTGATAATGGCAGTCAGGGTGCCATTGTCTAGCCTGTAGAGGTCTGTCCGTCCCTCCATGGATATGCCTCCCCAGACCATCACTGATCCTCCACCAAAACGGTCATACTGAATGATGTTACAGGCAGCATAACATTCTCCACGGCTTTTCCAGACCCTGTCACATGTGCTCAGGGTGAACCTGCTCTGATCTGTGAAAAGCAGAGGGCGCCAGTGGTGGACCTGTCATTTCTGGTGTTCAATGGCAAATGCCAATCATGCTCTATGGTGAAATGAGCACAGGGCCCACTAGAGGACGTCGGGCCCTCAGGCCACCCTCACGAAGTCTGTTTCTTATTGTTTGGTCAGAGACATTCACACCATTGGCCAGCTGGAGGTCATTTTGTAGGGCTGTCGCCAGGGACGAACTGACGACTCATGGGGCCCCCGGACAATAGGGGATCATGGGGCCCCTGTGTCCTCACCCACACTCAAACCACTCCAAAAAATGCCTATGAAAGGTACCAGGGGCATCTCATGGGGCCCCCTACTGACCCCCGGCCCTCGAGCAGTGCCTGAGTGTCCAAATGGTCAGTCCGCCTCTGGCTGTGGCAGTACTCAGCCTGTTCCTCCTTGCACAAAGGAGCAGATACCGGTCCTGCTGATGAGTTAAGTAGTTTCTACAGCCCTGTCCAGCTCTCCTACAGTAACTGCCTATCTCCTGGAATCTCCTCCATGCTCTTGAGACTGTGCTAGGAGACGCAGCAAACCTTCTGGCAATGACACGTATTGATGTGCCATCCTGGAGGAGTTGGACTGCCTGTGCAACCTCTGTAGGGTCCAGGTATCGCCTCATGCTACCAGTAGTGACACTGACCCTAGCCAAATGAAAAACTAGTGAAAAACTGTCAGAAAAGATGAGTAGGGAAACAAATGTCAGTGGTCTCCATCTTTAAAACCATTCCTGTTTTGGGTGTTGTCTCATTGTTGCTCATCCAGTGCACCAGTTAATTTCATTAACACCAAAGCATCTGAAACTGATTACCAAACCCCTCTGCTACTTAAATGACCAGATCAATATCCTAGGAGTTTAATTGACTTGATGCTATACTCTGATTAAAAAGTGTTCCCTTTTTTAGCAGTGTGCGTGTGTATATATATATATATATATATATATATATATATATATATATATATATATATATATAGTTAATAAACATCAGTCCCTAACTCTCAAGGAGCGTACAATCTACAGTCCCTTACTCACATTCATACATACACATACTAGGGCCAATGTAGACAATTACCTATTAGCATGTCTTTGAATAGAATATAAAATGATAGAATAGAAAACAATAGGGTAAAACAGAACAGAATTGAATATAAAATAAAAGAATATACTAAAACAGAATAGGAAAAAAGTGAATAGAATATATAATAAAAAATAGAATAGATTAGAAAATAAAAGAACAGTAGAATAGAAAGGAATAGAGTACAACAGAACATAATAGAATAAAATAGAATAGAAAAAAGGGCATATAATAGAAGAGAAAATAAAAGAATACAAAAGAATAGAAAATAGCTGCCTTCTGAAATTCAAATTCCAAAAAGAATAGAACAGAATAGAATAGAAAATAAAAGAAAAGAATAGAAAATAAAGGAATAGAATATAAAATAATATATTAGAACAGAATAGAAAATAATAGAATACAATAAAATAAAAAGAATACAACCATATTCCGAAATTCGAATTTTGAATAGAATAAATTCACATTCGAATGCCGATACGATACTTTTCAGATTTGATCTGAATTTTCCAAATTCGGTTGAATTGAAATCGTTGACCAAATTCAGAAAATTCTAATCAAATTCAAAAACAAATAAATGAAATGGAACTAAACAAATTCCAAAAACGAATGAAACTAATTGAACTAAACAAAATTATTTAAATAATGAAACAATACAAATGTTTTTGTTATGTACATGTCTACTGTTTATAAAGCATTACCTGCTTTTCTTTTACTGGGAAGGCAAGGCAGGAGGGTGAGTGGTTTTCCTGGTGGTGGACACTTGGACACGATTGTAAAGATCATTAAGCATCTAAAGATTTATGAGTGGACTTGTTTGTGTTTCATGCACGTGGTGTTATCATAACCCGAGGGTTGCGGTTTATTCATTTGTAACATTGTGTCTTTTCTCATTTGGACACTTCTATAAGCATTTTAAGTCCTCATGCACACTGGATGTTTTTACAGCAGCTGTATTTGGGTTTTGGCATTTTTTCTACAGCCAATAAACTCCCCAGCATGTTATCCTACGTGTCCATGCACACATAGGCTGCAATCAGCGTTTTTTTGACTGAAAAAACCCCCAGAACTAGTGAGTTTTTAGAAGAGTTTTTTTATCTGTAAAAATGCTCTAACGCTGCAAAACATGGTAAAATGTAGCAAGCCAAAATTTTTGGATGTTTTTTTTAGCAAAAAAAAATATTTTTTTTGGTAAAAAAATGCTAAAAATTGCAAAGGCAGCAAAAGTCTGAAAAACTCCCGCTACCAGTGTTATAAAACGCCCAATCTGCACGGAGCCTTAGTTTGTTGGTTATTTTGTATTGTTAACACAGCTCTGCAGTCAGTGAATATTTACACAGTTTATTGTACACTGGATATCACTTTATTATATTCAGACTAACTTCATCATGTTCATCATTTTTTATTTATATTTTATTTTAATAACATTTCTCCATAACACTGAATATATAAAATGTAGGCCAACAGTAATGTATTTTGTTTGCCTTGCAGGACAGATTGGACCACGGCACAGCATTTGCAAACCACACAAATCACACAGTTGCATTGGTGGTCCAGCCTTTGTGTCACAGCCTTCAGCAGACTAATTTTGTGTGGACAGACTCAATGACGGATGGTCCGTTTGAGAATTTCCGAATTGGCATTGGCCTCAGCATAGATAACACATCCAACAATAAGACTGCTAAAGAGACTCTAGCATCCCTGCTGAAGGTCAGGGGCACAGACCAAGTATATGTTACAGTGACTGTAGAAACCAATCAGAGTGGTGTCGCTCTGGTCATCACTTCATGCAAACTTGTGAGCAAGAGGAACACTACTAGGTTATATTTTATTCAAGATGGGTAAGAGCCTAAAATTCCATATTGAGGATTTTCTCACAAATCAGATACATCAAGTATTTTTTTTTCCAAAACATTTTATTAATTTTTCAAAAAAATATCTTTACAGTAAAAAACAAATTAATTACACATTGCAAAAAAAAAAAAACCTAAAAAAAAAAGAAAAAACAAAAACAAGAGAGAAGGGAGTCCAAAATTTAATATCAATTATCCTCATCTTTTTCTTAATCCTCTTCTCTATTACCCATTAGACATTTTTCCCCTAGAGGTCGAAGTTTAGCACCTGAGATGTAATATATACCGTATAAAATTGTAACAGATTAACCACTAGCCTACCGGGCACTTATACCCCCTTCCTTCTCAGGCCAATTTCCAGCTTTCAGCGCTGTTGCACTTTGAATGACAATTGCGCGGTCATGCAACACTGTACCCATATGAAATTTTTATCATTTTTTTGGTGACAGATAGAGCTTTATTTTGGTGGTAATTAATCACCTCTGGGTTTTTTATTTTTTCTTAAACAAACCAAAAACCATTGAAAATTTTGAAAAAAAAACATTTTTTTCTTAGTTTTTGTTATAAAATTTTGTAAATAAGTGATTTTTCTCCTTCACTGATGTGCGCTAATGAGGCTGCACTGATGGGCACTGATAGGCTGCAACTGATGGACACTGATAAGTGGCACTGATGAGGAGGCACTGGTAGGTGGCACTGATGGGCATTGACAGCCATCACTGATGGGCACTGAAAGGCAGCACTGATATATGGCACTGATAGGTGGCACTGATAGGCGCCACTGACTGGCACTGTTAGGTGGCACTGATAGGCAGCACTGATGGGCACTGACAGGCGGCACTGATGCAGATTGATAGGCGGCACTTACTGGCACTGATAGGCAGTACTGACTGGCAGCACTGATAGGTGGCACTGACTGGCATTGATGGGTGACATTGAAAGGCAGCTCAGATGGGCACTGATATGTGACATTGATGTGGCACTGATGGGCACTGAAATGTGGCACTGATGGGCACTGAAATGTTGCATTATGTGGCAATGATGGGCACTGAAATGTGGCACTGATGGGCACTGGCAGGTGGCATGGATGAGCACTGAGAGCTGACACTGATGGACACTGACAGGTGGCGCTGCTGGGGCTACACAGATCATCAGGGCACACTGATCATCAGTGCCCTGATGATCTGTGTACATGTCCCCTCCACGGAATGACGATTATCGGCTCTCCTCTCCTCACGAGCTGTCAGCGTGACAGCTCCTGGGGAGAGAAATGCCGATAACCGGCATTTCCCTGTTTTCATGTGATCAGCTGTGATTGGATACAGCTGATCACATGACCGAGCCGACATCTTCGGCTCTTTCCGTGGAAAGGTGATCTGCTGTGTCCGAGGGTGCACCGCCGATCACCGCGCTCCGGGAGCCTGCGCATGCGTGGTTAGAATGGGAGGATGTCATATGACGTCCTCCCAGAGCGAGAGAACCGCCTTGCATCCGTCTTATTACTGTATGGCGGGCGGGAGGTGGTTAAAAAAATAAATATATATATATGGTCATCGCTCATATTCTAATTTTATAATTTGCATAAACCCAATTAGGTGATAACATGGCTGTTTCATGTGCTGTTAAAGATTTCTCCATATATAGAGCCCATCATTTGATATATTTTCTTTGACTTTTGCTCCCCCCCATCATCCAGTGGTGTCCCTAGGCAGATGTGGGGGGGGGGTGCGCTGGGTGACACCTATCGCACGGGTTGAGCATAATGGATCAGAGTCTGATCCATCATGCTCCCCAATCCGCAGAACCGATACATCTTGCGGGGATCATCGGCTTGCTTTAAAACTTTCCTTTTCGTGGAGCTCCTGGAGAGATCAGTTAACCCCGTATAGCTTGCAAGCCAACGATCCCCACAGGATGGATCAGATCTGCAGATTGGGGTGCATAATGGATTGGACTCCGATACCGTACCAGGTGACACCAACTCTAGGGATGCCCCTGCCATTATCTATTTTAATTGAAAGTTTACTAAGTGACGCAAGTTCTTTATATCTCTCTGTACCCTTTCCATAGTTTGGGGCAATTAGTTGAGCCATTCTTTAAGTATGCACCTTCTTACTGTTATTAGACAGATATGGACCCATTCTGTATTGCTTTTTTCTGACTGTCCCATTGGCACTGTCTCCCAGTAGCTAAACAAGACTAGCATCTACCTAGATCAAAAGTTCTATGCCTAGTCAAGTATGGATAAATGACAGATATACAGTATCTCACAGAAGTGAGTACATCCCTCACATTTTTGATGGACTGGTGATGGACTGGTCAAGCATGTCTCCAGACCTAAACCCTATTGAGCTTGTGTGGGGTATCCTCAAACAGAAGGTGGAGGAGCACAAGGTCTCTAACATCCACCAGCTCCGTGATGTTGTCATGGAAGAGTGGAAGAGGACTCCAGTGGCAACCTGTGAAGCTCTGGTGAACTCCATGCCCAAGAGGGTTAAGGCAGTGCTGGAAAATAATGGTGGCCACACAAAATATTGACACTTTGGGCCCAATTGGGACATTTTCACTTAGGGGTGTACTCATTTTGTTGCCAGCGGTTTAGACATTAATGGCTGTGTGTTGAGTTATTTTGAGGGGGACAGCAAATTTACATGTTATACAAGCTGTACACTCACTATGTCACATTGTAGCAAAGTGTCATTTCTTCAGTGTTGTCACATGAAAAGATAGAATAAAATATTTACAAAAATGTGAAGGGGTGTACTCACTTCTGTGAGATACTGTAGATAAATCTGCTGTTTCTACCAGACACGTCCAGCACAGGATGCAATATAATACTCTTCCAGAACAAAGACACTTGCATAAAATAGAAATAATCTGATGGGGGAAGATGAAATTTCCAGCTTAAAGCCTGGAAAGTACATGGGATCCCTGCATCCATATCAAACAATTGGCGTAAATGTGTTAAACCCTGATTTGCCCATCTGCGAAAACCTATATGTTGTTCTCCTGCAGAAAATGCTGGATTACTTCTAATAGAGAGATATTTTGTACAATATGGAGGTTTATTAATATTATAATTTTCAATGACTTTCCTGCATTATTCCTGTATTGATGGCAGGTAAAGATGTCCCGTACATGATGCAATGTAATACTCCTCCAGAACGAAGACACTTGTATAAAGTAGAAAAATTCTGATGGGGAGGATGAAATTTCCAGCTAAAATCCTGGAAAGTACATGGGATCTCTGTATCCATATCAAACAATTGGTGTAAATGTGTTAAACCCTGAATTGCCCATCTTCGAAAAGCTATATGTTGTTCCCCTGCAGGAAATGCTAGATGACTTCTAATAGAGAGATATTTTGTACAATATGGGAGGTTTATTAATATATTTTCTTACTTCTCTCCATACTACCACAGTATCTCTTATCAAGGTATTTTGGCGATTCAATAAAGGCAATTTCGCAGGTGGGCAGTGCAAAAGGGGATGTTAAATTCCAAGGTGCTGTCATATTTGATTCCAACTCCATATTTGAAAAGCTAGATCTACCTGCTATCCAATCTATAGCATGTCTCAGCAGACATGATAGATTATATAATCATATATTGGGTAAAGCCATTCCCCCCCTCTCTATTAGGTAAAGAAGAGTTTTTTAAATGCAATCTGTTTTTTTTTTTTACCCTGCCAAATGAATTAACAGAATGCTGTGTTCAGCACATTCACATCTTTATGCCTAATGAGAAATAGTATTGTCTGCATTGGATATAGTAATAATTTAACATCTTTATTAGATGGATTCAACCAAACAAAGTTAAAGGAAATCATGCCGTCTGCCAGTTCTTAACAAAATTTTGTAATCTTTGATGGAAAATGTAACATATATACAGATGTTGGGGTCTTCCCTATTTTAATTCCCAAATATGTACCTGTATTAACCACTGCAAAACTAACTTTATGGCGCCATTTTAGTTCTGCTCTAGAGGTCAGCATTAAAACTTTACATTTATTATTTATTTATTTATTTCAGGTACTTACAGTGGGGCAAAAAAGTATTTAGTCAGCCACCAATTGTGCAAGTTCTCCCACTTAAAAAGATGAGAGAGGCCTTGTGACGGAGGAAAGGCAGAACAGAACACACAGAGAGGATGACAGATGCACAAAGCTTTATTGAGACACAAACAGATGGCAGTCCTTCAATACGTTGGGTGGCAGAGAGGGTGGATTTGCCACTCAATGGTAACGAGGGTCCCCACCCACTTATAGTCCACTAGGAGAGCCAAGGGGGTGTCCCTGTAACAGGGGTAGTCCGACACATGAGAGGGGTGCCTGTAGTCACCACCGTAACAGTTCAGGTAACAGTGGGGAAGCAGGTACTCACGGAGAACAAGGGGTTCAGTCCAGGCAGGGGATAGATCCAGGCAGATTCACGGGGACAGCAGAAGATTCCTCCACAGTGCAGGGATTGCAGGCAACACAGACAGTCCAGGAGATGAGGAGGAGGACGGGGGATGAGAGGAGCTGGCGCTCAGCACAGCCGTCCCTCACACACACAGCCAGGAGAACACACACCCGGGGGTTTTCTTGCTCTCTCTTAAGTATTGAGCTGGTAACTAGATACTTCCTGTCGGGTTACCATGGCAATGGGTCCTGTCCAGAGAGTTCAGGAATTTGGCATGAGGGGGAAGGGAGGAGGGGTCCAGAGTAATTTAATTAGGCCATTAGGCCAGTGACACAGGGGACAATTGGAACAATACAGAGCAGGACTCTGAGGGCATGTGATACAAGGCATTAATAAGGGGATTCATAATTGGCAGGCTCCCATACCGCGACAGGCCTGTAATTGGCATCATAGGTAGACCTCAACTATGAGAGACAAAATGCGAAAAACAATCCAGACAATCACATTGGCTGATTTGGAAAGAATTTATTTGCAAATTATGGTGGAAAATAAGTATTTGGTCAATATCAAAAGTTCATCTCAATACTTTGTTATATATCCTTTGTTGGCAATGACAGAGGTCAAACGTTTCCTGTAAGTCTTCACAAGGTATGCTGGTATGTTGGCCCATTCCTCCATGCAGATCTCCTCTAGAGCAGTGATGTTTTGGGGCTGTCGCTGGGCAACACGGACTTTCAACTCCTTCCAAAGGTTTTCTATGGGGTTGAGATCTGGAGACTGGCTAGGCCACTCCAGGACCTTGAAATGCTTCTTACGAAGCCACTCCTTCGTTGCCCGGGCGGTATGTTTGGGATCATTGTCATGTTGGAAGACCCAGCCACGTTTCATCTTCATCTAGTTCCTTTAGAAATAGGGAAAGAGGTAGAAATAAAGTCTGGGGTACATACTCTAGCAACCAGGTTTTTAGACATAATTGATAGTGCATAATCTATCCTAAAAATCGCTATTTTGCAGAACTTGAACTAACCAAGCCAGGTCCACATTGTCAAATGCCTTTTCAGCATCAATTGTTATCAAGGCTATTTCTTTGTTTGGATTATTTTTCGTGAATTCAAGAGCAGCTAACACTTTACGTATATTCAAAACCGCTGAATGACCTTTAACGAACCTGACCTGGGGTGGTGATATTAAAGTGGGTAAAAACAAGGATAGACATTCCGCTATCAATTTTGAGAAAATGTTTACATCCACATTTATTAATTAAATTGGACGGTATGACCCCGGTTGTGTTGGATGTTTCCCTTTCCTAAGCAACACCTTTATATAGGCCCCTTTTCCTGTATTCCAATAGTCACTTCCAGACCACATCTGAACATAATGCATTATATATCTTCCCTGTATAGCCATCTGGTCTTGAGGCTTTTTCATTTGGAAGTTGTTTAATAAAGCTTTTCATTTCTTCCATTGGGACTGTTGAGCACTGATAAAGCTTCTGAGGATATTTTTGCGAGAGAAACTTGCCGCAAAAATTATTTTTTTCTCCTTAATGCATCCATCTTTTGTGGTGAGTATAGATCTCAATAAAATTGCCCTAATATAGAATGTATCTGTTTTTGATGGGTATATCAGGCTATTGTTAGAATCCCTTAAAGCATTGATATGTCTAGAAGATAGTTTTCCCCTGGTTAGATTTACCAATAACTTTCCTGCTTTGTTCCCATATTTCTGAAATTTTAATCTCGTATAGGCTTCAGAATTTATCTCCACTTGTGATGCCCAATAATCAAATTGGTGTTTCGCCTTTAATCATCCCTCACTAGAAATGGGATGGGAACTTCCAAAGCATAACATCTCCTTTTGGGTATATAATCTTGTATTTCTACTACCACTATTGGGGAATGATCGGATGTAGCTATAGGATGTATTT